GGTACCGGTAGTGGGATACGGTAGGGGACGGTACTTATATACATTATAATTTTTATACTTTAAAATTAAATGATGAAAAAAGTATAGAAAAATTATGCTAAATTAGAAAAATTAAATAAAAATATACATGACTGGCAATTGCTACCTTATAACATACATATAAATACCAATCTTTAAATTTTATATTTTTTATGGAATAAATTTTTTTGATAAAGAAAGGCTTTAGGAGAATATTTATAATAATGTTTCTATTGTATGAATATAGAAAATTAATAGAAAAAAAATAAATTGTGCATCTCTAAATTGATGTCGATATTTAGAGACAAATTCGATCAAAGAATTATTTGATATTTATTTACATTAGAAAACATACTTTCGATAGCCTTGACATAATTTATTTATATATAATATATATGTCTATATGTTATGAAGAAAAAAGTACCGATAAACGTTGATAATTGATAGTTTCATATTTTAAAAATATAAATATGAAAATGCTAACAATAAGTATTTCATTATTCTATTTATATTATTATTATTATATTTATATGCTGTGGACTCTATTTGGCTTTGTGACTTGTTACGATGCGATAATCTTACTTTACAAAGAAAATATGATACGATAGATGCTGGAAACATTATTTTAAAAAAATGTATAAGGCAATAAATAATGAATCTTATTTTGCATAGAAAACATTAAATCACATTTTGTGCATAGAATGTTTATAAATAAAATTGTATATTTATTTATTGTGTACTTATTTTAGTTAAGGTAAGATTACTTATTACCCGCCCATATTTTTCTAGCGAAACAAAGTTCAACATCTAGCATATTTATTGAGCGGGAAGATGATAAAACTCTTAATATTTGCATAATTATATTTCAATAAAATAAAACTTTGCTTGAAAAAATAATATTAAAGTCAATTAGCATTCACACTTCTATCTTCTAACTTATTCTACCTGCCGTCTTATTATATCTTTTTGTCCAGCATCTATATACATGTAGACTACGAAAAATAATTTATAGACGATGTCCACATTCACCGTCTTCGGATTGTGCACAGTCGATATATTTCACTCATACTTAATCGTCATGTGTCTTCATAAAAAAAAGACTGCCTGGTTCGAGAACATTTATTATATTAGCAATTTACAATTAAAGTAAATTTACTGCTTGATAAAGGAAATTGTGTTTGAAAATATTTATTTGTGCGAATACGAATTATTTTATCTCTTCCTTGGTTTTCCATTTCGAGCGAAAAATAGCATTCATGTATAAAATATTTGTTCGCATACAGTTTGCAGATATTCATGTGATATGTATTGTTCAATTGTTGCTCTTAGACATGTGTCTGCGAATACTGTAGTATATATATTCGATTTGTATGTACTAGACATACAGAATAACAATTAGGAAATTAGGACTGGCATAACCATTTGGTTCTTATTTAGAAACAAATGCATACAATTTTTTAAATCAAACTATTTTAAGTATAAGAAAAAGTTTATATTCAATTTTAGCATACAGTAGAAAAATTATATAAATCAATTGTATAATTAAATTTGGTCTATTAACGTTTTTATTCATTTTTATGTAATTTGCAATTTAATATTAAATTGCAAATTATCTATACTAATATATAAAGAGGTAAAGTTTGTTTGTTCCATTGTTCGGGGTAATCTCGGAAATTGCTCAATCGGCGATTTGAAAAAAATCTTTCTCTGTTGAATAGCTAGTAGTTAGATCTTCCTAAGTAACGTAGGCTATATGCAATCGTCTTGCAACTTCTAAAAATGTGCTTGTCGTACAGAAAAATACGTCTTTACGCTTTATAATTTTACAATAATTTTATAATTTAACGCTGTAGCATAAATAATTCACACTATATTCATACAAATGTACTGGTGAAGATTTATCAAAATCGGTCATGTGTAGTTTTATGTTAAATTATTAAATTACTAGATAATGTGCAAACATGAATTTTTTCTTAGCATACTGCTAAGATTTATTTATTTCAGGAAATGTATCTCAATCCGAAATTATTAAATTCGCTTATTTCCCCCTAAACCCCCTGTAGAAATAGGCGAGAAAATATACATATACAAAAATGAATGATATAATCTCTAAAGCTCACCTTTAAAAAAAGGTAAAAAAAGGCGACCAGTTAAGGGCACGCCATTAACAAAAATTAATTATTGCAAACCCATGTAGAATCCTATATTGCAAACCCATGTAGAATCGTACCCATTGCAAACCTATGTGGAATCCTATGAAAAATTAACCATTGCAAACCATGTAGAATCTATGAAAAATTAACCATTGCCAACCCATGTAGAATTGTATTAAAAATTATCCATTGCAAACTTATGTAGAATCCTACATTGCAAACCATGTACAATAGAATTGTATGAAAAATTATCGATTATAAACCCATGTACAATCGTAACAAAAGTAATGAAATAAAAAAAAAATTGCGACAAGTGAAAGTAGAAACTTGTACCAGTGGAAAATTAAAGTTGCAGACATATATATAGTCGTATAATGAATCAGTAAAAATTTAAAATTTGCAAATGTAGAATCGTACCATAAAAAAACTTATCTTTTAAAAAAAAAAGATAAACAAGATGCCAAGTCCATTAATAAAAATAAAAGAAATAAAAAAATTGTAGTTAAAAAAACTGGGCGCGCTGCTAAGTTTCAAAATTACAATGCACCTTAAAGTAACATTAATTAATTTAAACACAAAACATATTTTAACTGCAATGAGTTTAAAAATAACAATTTAATTTTAATATCATTAGAATATTTATTTAGCAGCGCGCCCAGTTTTTTTAACTACAATTTTTATTTCTTTTTATTTTATATTAATGGACTTGGCATCTTGTTTATCTTTTTTTTTAAAAGATAAGTTTTTTTATGGTACGATTCTACATTTGCAAATTTAAATTTTTACTGATTCATTATACGACTATATATATGTCTGCAACTTTAATTTTCACTGGTACAAGTTTCTACTTTCACTTGTCGCAATTTTTTTTTATTTCATTACTTTTGTTACGATTGTACATGGGTTTATAATCGATAATTTTTCATACAATTCTATTGTACATGGGTTTGCAATGTAGGATTCTACATATAAGTTTGCAATGGATAATTTTTAATACAATTCTACATGGGTTTGCAATGGTTAATTTTTCATAAGATTCTACATGGATTTGCAATGGTTAATTTTTCATAGGATTCCACATAGGTTTGCAATGGGTACGATTCTACATGGGTTTGCAATGGTTAATTTTGCCTAGGATTCTACATGGGTTTGCAATATAGGATTCTACATGGGTTTGCAATAAATAATTTTTGTTAATGGCGTGCTCTAACTGGTCGCCTTTTTTACCTTTTTTTGATTCGACGTCGATTTGATCATTTATTTCTCGCTGAGAATCTTACTTATATATATTTCTACATATAATATGTTGTTATTTATCATTAAAAGTACCGTGGAATTTTATGTTTAACTGCTTCACTCATTTTATTATATGCTATATATATTTTATTATTAAGGATATGCTCAAAAACCACAATCATCACATTTTACAAAATTTCCAGCCTGATCACAATCATTTTGATAGCGTGACTATAAAAAATGAAGTCGATGAAGTTACATTTGCAAATATGTCTATGAATCCAGGATCTATTGGTAAGATGCAATAAATACATAGAACGATAAAAAAGTTTTTCCGACATATAATTTAAATTCAAGAAAGAGTGAAAATTTTTAAAAATATCAAAATATTTTTTAATAACAAAGACGATATATAATTTATTCTGATGCTAAGAGCAAAAAAATTCATATTTTGTATATAAAATAAAAGTAAAATTCAAGATCACGCCATTAATTTCATTATTTTATTCGTTCGTTAATTTTAAAGTAGTCGCAAATAATATATTTTTTGTGAATAAATAGAAAATTTTAGAAAAACGTTTAGCGCTTTATTGAAAGTTTCTATTTCTTTTGATTCTGGATTAACAATTACTTTTCTAAATTTTAAAATATACACAAAGACATTTTTTGTATAATATTATTTTATTATTTTAAAAATCAATATTTGCTGTTAAATTTATAATATACGTTCATTTTTCCTTTTTCCTTTATTTTCACTTTATTTTTGTAATTTATAGATTTAATTTATTGATCAACTTAATGTTTTTGTACATATTAATATGTACAAAATATATTGTCTTAAAATTTCTAGAAAGCATTCCGAGCAAGCCAAGAGCATTTGTAGAGTTCGACAAATTCCTAAATAAAAAAGACATTTCTGTAACATTCAGGTAATGAATTTAAATCTAAATTTTTATAATCTATATTCCTTCTTTTTCTTAAATTTAATAATATATATACATATAAAAATATTAATAGTGATAAAGTTATTATATATAAAAGACTAAAATTTATCTTATAGATGGGGCCTACCTGAATTTACAAAAGAAATGATACAAGCAATAAAGTTGGGTAAGTTAATTTTTTCTTAATTAAGTTAAGTTATAGTTAACTGTCTTGAAAATTTAACTTAGTTAAGATGCAAGTCAATCCATAATAAAATTAATTGAATTAAAAGTTAAGTTAATAATAAAAAATAATTAAAAAATTAAAAATTAAAATTGTTTTAAAAATCAAATCGAAATCTTTTTCATTCGACGTAGACGAATCAGATTCGTCCACAATGTAAACATTCATTGCGTCTTTGCACAAAATTTCAAAGACTCGCGATCACGTAAATTGCAAATTTAGAGGCTCAAAAATTGAATTTATTCGCAGAGGAATGTATGCGTAAATTCATTTTTTACAGAAAAGTTGCAAGTTTATTGGCTATTGCATAGCTTTTAGCCAATCAACTTGCAACTTTTCTGTAAGAACTGAATTTATGCATACGTTTCTCTTGCGAATGAATTCAAGAATTGAGCCCCAGAACCAACGTTTGGTATAATAAAGAGAGATCGAGAAATAATCAAATTCACATGAAATATGGCTCGTTTTGTATGAGAACAAAAAACTTCAAAAAAGTTAAATCAAAAGTTAATAGTTACTGATAAAATATAACTGAATTAAGTTAAAAGTTAAGAGTCTAAAATGTAACTATAAGTTAAGTAAAATTATTTAACTTTTTAACTTAACTTTTATCTTTTTAACTTTAACTAGACGAGACCTGGATAAAAGGATACACAGTGCAGTGTTGGTTTATCGAGAATCAAAAAAAGATTGAAATCTGCGACGATAGAAGGATCGTAACTACAATGGAGTGCATAAAGCATAATCTAAAACCCAACACGACGTACTATTTCCGTGTGCGAATGCATACTAAAACTGGTGTTGGTCCTTATACGAATTTAATGAATGTATCATCGACACATGAAAATCCGATACCTAAATTACTGATTAGATCGAAAAAAGGTGTCCAAATATTTGATTTAGATTCAAAAACCTACGTCGATCTTTTTGACAATTCTACAGCAATGTCAAAGTTCATTCATTCGGCAGTGGGACATAACATTTATTGGATCGATTACGAAGATTATATCTTTACAAAAAAGCTAATGACATGGAATATAAATAACAACATTAGCACAAAAATAATTAACTTAAAAAAGAATGTATACAATCTGTGTATTGACTGGATAGGAAGAAATCTATACTGGGTAGAATATGAACGAACAAACACCACTTACATTATAAAGCTGGACTTAACAATGCGGGAAAATGGCACATTCAAATATGACAAGATTTGAGCAGAAAAAATGATATTTATTTAACAATACTACCATCCATAGGTATGCTAATTTTCATTCACTTAAAAAAGTAAACATTTTCGTCTCTTTCAGTTAAGAATTAATATTATTTTCTAATTTTATTTCATTAACTATGATATTGTAATAAAGATCAGAATAGAAAATCATAAAATTATTAATCATTATAAGTTTGTAAGAATTTAAAAACATTTATATCTTATCTTCATTTATGTGTCTGATTAAACTAATATTTTACAGCAATCATATATAGAATAATTCATATATTTTTCAGATTGTTATATTGGATAGAACATGGTTTAGATAACCAGTATGTAATAATGAAATCGGATCTTAACGGAAAAATGTGGAATCTGTTCTAAAAAGCAATATGACCTTCTGTCGATATAAAATACCAAACTTGAGAACTATAGTTGAAACAATATTTGACACCACAAAAATAGAAGAGTCGCTAATATATTGGATAAAAAAAAATGAATTAATTGTAGCGGATCTTAAGTTAAACAAATGCAACATAATTGTAATCGCTGAAACGAACACACAGCTTAATCCACGCTTAACAACTGACAAAGAAAACATTTACGCATTTACGAACCCACTATTCGAACAACATTATATCTATATTTAAAAAAGAAATACGCACTTATTGACAGTGAAAAAAACGCATTGAAATACGTACAAATAGTAAAAAGCAAGAATTACTTATATTATATGACATCTTTCAGTAAATCATTACAACCATACCCTCGGACGGAGTGTCTTACGCCTGACAAAAATTATACTTTCATAATAGTAAGAATAACAGCGAACAGTATCGTCTTGAACTTACCAGAACCGATTTCTAAAAGTGGATGCAAAAACAACCTACCATCCAATAAATATACCATCCTCATAAGCTATTGTTTGAACAATAGTCTTAACAAGTTCGATAAAATCGATGGGGAGACATACGAGCGGCGTTATGAAATTCAGAATTTAACACCGTTTACAGAATACAAGCTAAAACTAGCCCTAAGCAATTTTTATTCTGATCAATTATCAATGGATCTGCAATTTGATTCGGAAACAAATAGTGAGAACTAACGTGGACAAGCTAAATGCACCGGAAAATGTAATGGTTCAGGTTCTAACATCTACTATAGCGGCAGTTTCTTGGACGCCACCAACGAAACTGAATTGTGCAATAGTGACTTATAAAGTATATTGGGAATCCATTAGCTCGACGAATAGCACGCAACCGATAAAAGAACCATTTATTAATAAACGTAAGGCAGACAACAAATTTTTCACAATAATTGAACAGTTGCTGCCAGATCAGAAATACTTGGTGTATGTGCGTGTGTATCCAGGCAATTACAGCAATCTCTATAATGACAGTTTAAAAATTGTGCACATGTACTCGGAACCGAACATAACTTTGAGCGGAGTTAGCATTAACAGTATGAATATTTCGTGGATTCCTACCGTCAATCAGACGATCCATTACATATTAGAATACAAAAATGATGTGATGCAAAAGTGGGAAATTGCAGACAACTTTGAGACGAATAATGAAACAGTAATGTGCTATATAAAAAATTTGCTACCGGCAACTTTATACAAGTTTTGTTTGACACTGACATATCCCGAGTACGAGAACTTTACATGGCCACCTAAAAAAAAATTTTTATTTTTCAAACACTTGGTAAACAAATTTGATAATATTTTAGTATAATCTATCTATTTTATAAGTATAAAAATGTTTATAAAATTTTAAGAATTAAATATTTTCAATAATAATTATGAGTTATAAGTAGAAATAAAAGTAAATTTTTAAGTAAAAAAAATTAAAAACTATATATTTGTGAAAAAGATGACGGTTCCAGTACTCTAGCTCTTAAACATTATTTATTATTGGCGATAAGTCTTGTCGCTATCGTTACCGTAATCTGCATTTACTACTTTTACCGTTGTAAGTACATATATGTATTTGATACATATTTATTCTTTAATTACAGATTATGATAAATACATACAGATATAAATACAAATTTTCTGAAAAAAACTTAATTTATTTATTAAAAAACGTTACTTAAAATATGCAATGAATTTTATTAGATAAATATATTGTAATTTTCTAATAGTGTCTCGACGACGCAGAGAAAGTAACGAGCAAGTTTTAACTACGATAATACCCGACAAAGAATTAGCGATTCTACATGAAATACCTATCGGAAACGTTCATCTTAATATGCTATATACTTCTACGTTACAACATAATCCCAATAAATTTATGTTGACCAAAATAAAACGTAAGCAAATCACACTAACAAAACTTCTTGGTAGAGGCGCATTCGGAATGGTAAGAACTAATTTTCTTAACATCATATTTTAAACTATTTACATTTATATATGTATAAAAATGAGAAATACACATTTCTTAACAAATATCACATAAATCAACTTTTTATGAGATTAAGTTACACAAAGCTTTTATATGAAACAATATATCATATATGTATATGCGATTTATTTCCTTTCGTTAAATTATTTAAAATTAAAGCAAGATTTAATGCTACACGAATTAAAATTTAATGTTTTTAATTAAGATTATATTTATTTTTAATAATTCGCAGGTGTTTCAAGGGATTGTCAAAGATTTAGAAAAATCGGACTCGGAGACATCTGTTGCCATAAAGACGTTAGAAAAATGTGCTTCAAAAGAAGAGAAAAAGAAATTCTTGCAAGAGGCAAGGCTTATGAATCACTTTAGACATAAACATGTGCTAAGATTACTAGCCGTCTGCTTAGACGAGGATTCTCCGTTACTTGTGTTGGAATTAATGGAAAGTGATCTGCAAAAATATTTGAGAGAGCATCGAATATTGCAATCTTCTGATTTACACGCTTTGCGTGTACAAGACTTGCTTGCTATGTGCGAAGATGTTGCGCGAGGCTGTTGCTATTTGGAAGAGCTGCGCTTTGTACATAGAGATCTCGCGTGCCGAAATTGTTTAGTGTCTGCGAGAGATCGCGAAAATCGTATCGTTAAAATCGGCGATTCGGACTTGCTAGAGATATTTATAGAGATGACTATTATCGCAAGGTAAACACAATTAATTAAAAACAAATAAAACTTTTTCAAATTTGATTTCTATATGTATTGTATATATATTTTTTGCGTCTTTATAAATATTATATATTATTAACAATAAGTCAAATAGAATTAAAAAAAAATAAAAACTACATATATATAGTTATTATATTTATATATATGATCATGGAAAATATTAGCAAACGTTTTCTACTTAAGAAAATTTATTTCAAAAATTTGAATAAAAGATCTAACTTCGCTAAAATTGTTTTAGGAAAGAGAAGGTCTGCTTCCTGTTCGCTGGATGGCACCGGAATCTATAGTAGATGGAATATTTACTTCTCATAGTGACGTTTGGTCATTCGGAGTACTAATGTGGGAGATTATGTCGTTAGGCGAACAACCTTATCCTGCCAGAACTAATCTCGAAGTGATAGATTACATACGCACTGGAGGCAGATTGCAGATACCTCTCAACTGTCCATCCTCGTTATACCAGTTGGTGCAACGTTGCTGGAGCGTTGCAGCGAATGATAGACCAAACTTTAAGCTTTGTCTGAACAATATTATAGATCTGAGAAGCGACATAGAAGACGCAAAATTGCATCCAATGAATCTAGCCGGCACAAGTAATTAATTATTCGTATATGTATATTTTAAGGAGAAACAAGTATTTGCACATATTTGACATATTTGGAAATATGTCTGTATTATACGTGAATTGATTGTCATTAGTACTATTTTCATAAAAAAGTAATAAACTGTATAATTTAGTAAAAGTTTTATGACTTGATCACACACATTCATGCATCTTGATTTGTCACAAAAGGCAATCTTAATACATATGTAAAAGTGAAATATAATAACTTGCAATTTATATATTAGCTGTGAAAAATTTACCTAATATAAAAGAGCATCTACAATTTTGGGACATTAAAACTTTTAATTATGGTCATATTAATTCAGTATCATATTTCATTACATAAAAAAAATACCTTTTTTAAAAAAAAGGTAAAAAAAAGGCGCCAAGTTTACGCGTCATGTGTTAAAGTGTTTTATAAAAAATATAAAACTTTTATGTTGTAAAATTAATTTTATAAAAAATATAAAACTTTTATGTTGTAAAATTAATATTTCTAAAAAAAAATTGAAAATTAGAAACTTATGCAAAAATTAAAAAAATAATACAAAATAAAAAAAATTAAAAAATTTTAGTTAAAAAAACTTGGCGCTGCTAAATTAAACAATGTGCTAATAATATTAACGTACTCTGTATGTACATTTATGTTTCAGTTTATTGTTCATTAATATTTCAGTTATTATGATAATGTAATTTTTAAGTAAATTAATTATTTGTTATTAAAGTAATGTTTATATAGAATTAATTTTATTTGTTTTAACTTTAAGATATACCTATTGCAATAACTAATTAACCACTATGCTAATAAACGAACTCTGTACATATTTACATTACAAATATTTTTTGTACTTTCAAATTAAATAAATTGTTTAGTAGTTTATTTGTTACGTTAAGATATATTGCCATAAATTAATTATTTGTTACTTTAATATATATTATAGATAAGATTCATTGCAGTAATTTTGAAATTGAGCAGCGCCAAGTTTTTTTAACTAAAATTTTTTAATTTTTTTTATTTTGTATTAATTTTTTAATTTTTGCATAAGTTTCTAATTTTCAATTTTTTTTATAAATATTTATTCATTTGGCGCAACTTTTAGATATCATTTTTTTTTTTAGAAATATTAATTTTACAACATAAAAGTTTTATATTTTTTATAAAACACTTTAACACATGACGCATAAACTTGGCGCCCTTTTTTTACCTTTTTTTTTAAAAAAGGTATTTTTTTTATGGATATCATTCCTTTGTAGTATATATATTTTTTATAATTTAAAATAAGAAAGCAAAGAATCCGCCATCACCCTCGTCATTATTTCATATGCTATATATATTATTTATTAGCCATCTTTTGTAAAAATATTATATAAATATTTTTAGCACCTCTAGGCCACTGTTTTTTTTAACTAGTGCATCATCAACTTCGACCCAAATGTTAGATACTCCTATGATATGCGATAACACATATTTGATTTTCTTTCATAACAACATCTCATAACGCTACCATCCTACTATTTCTTCATAAATATATAATTATTGCTAAAAAATAAGCAAACAAAAGCTAATATTATATAATAAATAAAATGTAAAGAAAAAAATTATAATATATACATTTTTGATAACTCTGAGTACTTCATAATAATGCTTTAAATTATCAAATTTTTATTACATTAATATTTACATTTTATTAATTATAAATTATTAATTTATATTCACTTTCTTATTTTATAGCAATAATTACATACATCTGAATGAATGATTGAATGAATAAAAAAATAACGGGATGGTAATGTGACAGAAAAGGTTATAAAAGAAAATCACATATGTGTTATCGCATATCATATGTATGTAGCATAATATTGCAAAATTTAAATTTAAAAGAAATATGTAATATTGCATATCATATGTATGTAGTATAGTATTACAAAATTTAGATTAAAAAAAATAACAAGATTTTACAATACAATACTATACTACATACATATAAAAAGCAATACTACATATTATATATGATATATTATATTTATTTTAAAATAAAATTTTTTGATACACATACCATTCTATTATAATTATTTATTGCACTGCTATCTTATTCAAATCAAAAGATTCAATTTATGTATGTAGGTTAAACTGAACCTATGTCAATCAATGTGTCAAAACATAATTCATGGAGCGACATCAACGCTATCTTGCAATGAATGCTCGAAATGGACATTGTCAAATACATGCGCATTGAGAGGGTCGACGACGTTGATGACGATGACCAAAATTTATAACAATTTTTAAGAAAAACAAAATTTAGATTATAATATCTCCGTTAATAAAGCACATAGAGAAAAAATAAAGGCACTTTCTTCTATAATTCAAACCTAATCTATCGATTGAGCATAATAAGAACTTGATCGCTTCAGCCGTTAATTGCATAATTGAAATATATGATGTTCTCAGATGTCAGACTCGCGTTATAATACACGGTGTGCCTCGCTGCGCAAAGCTTCGCTTTTTGACTTGACACTACCGTGTCTCTTGATATCAAGAGACACGGTAGTGTCTCGCGACCAGTTAAGGGCGTAGCCGAGACACCGTGTATCTTAACGCGAGTCGGACATTTGAGTCTTTATAATATTTCGAATTCTCAATAACGGCTGAAGCAATCGAGTTTATACTAGACTTAAATCGATAGATTGAGTTTGAATTATATAATAAAAGTGTCTTTATTTCTGCTCTACGTGATTTATAAGCAGAGATATATAATTGCAAAGTCGAAATATGAAAAATTTCTTTTAAGAAACGTCCCCGTCATTATCATCATCGACCACGCATACATAGTAGTATCGTGCTACACGTATTCACACGTATACAACACATGCGCACACATATATCACACGTACACAACACATGAATAGATGCATGTATTGGAAATGTCCATCTCGCACGTTTTACAACAGACGGCGATAGTTGCCCTCCGCTATATTGACAGCGTGCGGGGTTAGATATTTTCAATTTCAATTTCAATTTCAACGTGCGGGGTTAGATATTTTCAATTTCAATTTTTACATTCAATTTTAATGTTATTATTTGCAAATTTATTGTCATAATATTTCAATAATATTTCAATTATATAAATGCCTATGTATGAGTATGCATATATTTTTAATAATAGTTGCCCTCCGCTATATTGACAGCGTGCGGGGTTAGATATTTTCAATTTCAATTTTTACATTCAATTTTAATGTTATTATTTGCAAATTTATTGTCATAATAATTTATGTGCAAGTTTACAGTCTGTGATACAAAATCAGATATTTTGCTATTATTTCAATAATATTTCAATTATATAAATGCCTATGTATGAGTATGCATATATTTTTAATAATTTTCTTAATTAGCTTCTATATTTTTTTCAGTTGTACATCAAGCAGGTAGCATTATCAGCTCACTTGTGAGCATGGGTTGGGCAATGGCTAGTTATCATCGCAGCATTCGATTAGCTTAACAAGATAAATCTAATATCAGTGCTATAGGAACTATTTTACAATTTTTCTGGCATTTTCTTATTGCAGGTACATATATATCCAATAATTAATATACAAAATTAAATATTATTCATCACACACTTTGTATCAAAATAATATATTTTTTTAAATTTATTTTAAATTTATTTAATCATTTTTATCATTGTGATTGTAGTGGCAAGGATCTTATTGCTCAGTGTCATTGCAAGCATCTGGCCTGTATATACCATAATATATTGTGTAATACATTGGCTAAGTATGACAATATAGATTTTGATAGATTCCCATGGAATATTGGAATTTTGTCGGACTTACAGTCATCCACCACATATGCAGCCTACAATTAAAGAACGCATTTATTCCATATGATTTGCTTCCGTTATTGGAATATTTAAAATAAAAATTTTATTAATAAATTTCGATGAAATAATTTATAAGAGGTTGAAGAAACTATGAAACAAATTCAGTCTCATAAAAGGGTAGTTGGAACAATAGTGGTGAATGCAGAAGGTATTACATGAGATCATTGACATGATTTACTTGTAGTTGTAAACAAAAATTTATAAAATTATATTTGTTTTAGGTATTCCTATAAAGTCAACATTAGATAATACGACAACAGTTCAATACGCAGGTTTGATAAGTCAATTGTCAGATAAAGCTCGTTCTGTCGTACGTGACTTGAATCCAACAAATGATTTAACTTTCTTGCGCATACGTAGCAAAAAACAAAATTATGATGGCACCAGATAAAGAATTCATATTAATAGTAGTACAAAATCCAGTTGATTGATATTTAAAAGAAACAAAAATATATTTCAAAGTTAAGATTTATTTTTTTGGTTGTTAATTTAATCTGTATGCTACATTGGATGTTAATATCTATTCAATTAAATAAAGAAAAATAAAAGAATAAAGCTTAAAAATTATACAAAATGCAGTATTTAATTACTAATTTAACAAATTATGAACTTTTAGAGTTTTTAAATAGTGCTTTCTTCTTTGGTAACAATATTATATTTTTAAGTTTGATAATTATGAAAATATGTATATATAGTAATTCATGGCATGTTTATTTTTGTATTTAATACAATTATAAATGTACATTTCTCATCAATAAAATATCACAGTATCTTTTTTATAATTTAATTTTAATATTGAGATTGTTTTTATTCAGTGGAAAAAAAATGTGTAGTTGGTCCCTATTAATTATACATACATATAAGAGTGTCGCACAAATAATTCTATGCAGTCTTTTTAAGATAATATAAAAATACTTATAAATATAATCAATTAAAATACATATAATCAAAATTGTATGTATTAAAATTCAATAGCATATAAAAAGATTTTTAAAATTATATATATATAATAAAAATCCAACATTTTATATATATATATTTATATATATATATGTTATATATATATATATATATATATATATATATAAATATAAATATATATTTATTTATTGTATATCATAAATATATATTTA